ACATCATGGCTTCTAAGCTTGTCTGGATGCACACCAGCAGAATTTGAAATGGCTGATAAAGTGACGTAGAGTAATCACGTGATTTTTATCAGCCTCTCCCTGGATAATTGTTTTCAGCTGGTCAGCACTAATATAACTAGCAATATACACAGCTGATAAAGCTACCATTTATTTCTGAATCAATGCTTCAGAAAATAAATGCAAATTCATGAATTTACCAAAGAAATCACTTCATGTATCATTTGTTATTGGTATGACATCATATAAATTCAAAATAAATGCAAAATAAATGCATTGAAACAACATTTATTGAAAGAATCAAATTTCAATCATTCCAAAATCAATGGTCTGAAGATTTTTGAATTGGATTCAATCAAAAATAAATGCATAACCAATGTTCAATGTAATTTCAAGACAAATAAAATCAAAAATCAATGCAAATATAGCATTTGTTTTGGCTAAGGGTAAACATCCATTGTGAGTACCTGGACCCTGCTCTACACAGAGACAATGAAAGAATTCAGAAGCCAGTGTTAAGGTTTTTATATTTGTGTTAATTTGATTAATTGTGAACAGAGACAAGTTATTGTTCTAGATTTAATTATAAGAGGTGTATTAAGATAATATATAATTGATCTAAAACATTTAATGTATACAGAGAGAGGTGTTACTGATGTAGATAATTCTGTTACAATGTTGTAATTTACAGAGAGATCTCCCTGACTGAACGAAATCCACACTTGTCTGCTGTCAATAATGTATAGAGGAGTGTACCAGAAATCTGTCACCGTGTCTGGTGTTAGGGAGTGTCATCACATTTCACGTGTTACATCAGACCGGGTCTGGATCAGTGATGGTAGCAATCTTATACTGACAAACACAAAAGGAGAAGAACTAGATCACGTGACAGATATACGTAGTGTTGATGGAGGACACACTGTGGACTCTAATGGTGATCTAATTTATATAGACAGTGAATTTAACATCATTAAACTGTCTACAGAAAACAAAGAAAAGACAACGATAATAAAGTACAACAACACATCACCATGGATACTACAGTGTGTCTACAGCTCCCCCTCCACTGGACACCTGCTGGTCGTGATGTGTAGAGATGATACAAAGACAGGCAAGGTAGTGCGGTATAACTTCACAGGAGAAAACATCCAGACCATACAGCACCACAACAAAACAGGTCAGGAACTGTATGGAATACCTCTCTACATCACAGAGAACCGCAATGGAGATGTTATTGTGTCTGACTCTGACTGGGACCGTAATGCTGTAGTGGTGACAGATCGTGATGGTAATTACCGGTTCTCCTACACAGGTCCTCCATCAGGATCAGTACTAGATCCACGTGGAATCTGTACTGACGCGCTGTCACACATCCTGGTGTGTGATCCTATCAACAAGTCAGTACAGATGATAGATAGTGAGGGCCACTATCTGACAGAGATACTAACATCACAACACGGGATATACACACCATCCGGCCTGAGTTATGATGAGGACACACACCTACTGTGGGTAGGGTCAGGGGTCAACAACACAGTCAACCTATACAGAGTGGTAGATACAGAATCTCTGACTGGTAAGTAACACTGTAGTGTGTTTTATTGTTTTGTATAATTATAATACCAATACTAAATAACTACATTATAATAGAGAGGTCATTTAAGACTAACTTTACATGAATGTATTCAAGTGTTTATTTACAAATGTAATAGAAATGATTGCTTATTGTATAAACAACAAATATAAGCTGTTAAAGATGAAGTTGATGACTATAAAGATGTTAATAGATTAAAAAGTAATAATAGATGTACATCAAGTCTGTAATTAATTGTAAGATGTGTGTAACTCTTCAATCACTGATTCCTACATGTACATATTGAACTCTATATACACTGAATCTTATGTCAAACTTTTTTGTAATTTTTTTTCTCAGAACCATCTTACTGTACATTCATACATCTAGTATATATTTGTTTGATAGACCTGCTTTGAATTATAGATACATGTACCATATACTGTCACTGGGGGAATTTTCAACTTTTGAAATTTTAGGCTGTTTTGTTCGATAAGTAAATTTGGTGTAAAATGATCACTTTTGGGAAATAGTGGATTAAATTTTAAAATCTTTTTTTTTTTGCAATGTCCTTTATTGCTAGCGCTCTCGAGCGCTAGCAACTACGTTAGTCCAAATTTCTTGAATACGCATGCTCGGCCGCCATGGCCGTGCATTCTGGGAAAACTGTGAAAACTACTACAGATAGACCGTACGATAACAATTTCGTTTTATCATGTTGTAGCATGAAATAATTGTTTATTTATTGTGTAGCTTACACTTTAAAGATAACTGCATATTGATAATATTTCAATAATAATTCTGTTTTTTTTTTTTGCTGACGGAAAAGCTCGAGTCATTATCTGATTGTTCTTAACAATGACAAGGGAGTTTTTTTTTTAATTATTTTTTTTTTTATTTTTTTTTTACAACTAAGCACAACCAACGATAGATTCTAATTTCTGATTAATCAATTCAACTAATCTTACAATTTCCAGAAACAGAAGCAAGAATTTACACTAAAAATAACGAATAAATCCACTATTTGTGTTAAAAAAAATTCTTATGTGTATGGCTTTTAACCTAACATATCTTGACAAAGATGACCCAAAGGACCAATTAAGCTACTTCACATGCGTTCCAAACTCTCTGGACTCTTTACACAACATACACTTTGAGTTATTTTCTATATTCCTTTCAACTCCCATGTATTTTCTTTGCTAAATTGCCAAGAAATTCTTTTCTTTAAATCAGCCCGTACATGCAATGTCTCAAATTGCATCTTCTTCATATTATATAGAGCCCCCCCTCTCCTGTAATGGTCATTTATGTTCCGTTGCGCCAAAACTTCAATAGGCCACCGCCCCCCCCCCCCCTTGTTTCTTTACCTATGTGTCTATAAAATGGATACGCTTCACAAAACAATAATAAGTTTATCACTCTCCTGCCTCAATAAAAATTAAAGAATTCAGCAAAATACATCACTTGATCACGGATCTTCCTTTCTGTGTTTAAAAATTGCTACGGCGCTAGCTCACCTATCTTTTTAAAAGATAAACTTGTAATGTATTCAGTTTAAGTAAGTCTACATTTAGAACACATGACAATTTGTACTGATGTTGACAGTTAGATACAGACACCATTGATATTAACACAGCTTTGTCTAGGAATGTTGTGTATTTCTGTAGCAGTTGTTCAGTAAATCTACACTGTGTACTGGGTTGACATTTTTTGTATGAGAAACTTCTAGATGAAATATGGAAATAATTGAACAGTATTCAAGCTTATGTCCATAGTGAATTTTGATTCATTTCAACTTTATGAACAAAAAAAATTTTCTTTGACACCAAAGAATAAGCATGAATGCAACTGCATTGAATAATTTCAGTAACTTGCTAATGAAAGGGAGACAATCCAATTTTGAATTTGAAGGTAAAGAAAAAAATTAAGTTATCCCCCTTTTCATTAAATGTATAGAAAGAACATAACTTAGCCTGCTGCTTTGTTTCAAATTATCTGGTCAATAAAAATTAAAATATAATTTTATTATAACTGCCTGTTAAGTGTAAGTGCATGATATGATGAAGAAGGAAATACTGAAATATTTATCATTAGATTTTTTCTGTCCATTTTTAACCATTTATGACCCAATTAAATGAATTTAAAACACTTGAAGCCCTTAATTAGCTGATACACTGAAAATGTTTCATTTGTACCTTGTTACAAGCATTGAAGGTCACTGACAGAAATATGTAGGGTTAATTTCAGTGGTTTACATGGTCACTGAACTAAGTGTTGAGGCTAAGTGAGGGGGGGGGGGTAATATATGGCTGTACTATTTCAAGTTATATCAATAATTTTCATTATAGCAAAGTTAGATGACTAGATGACTCGTATGACTTATTTTAATCTATGAGAAAATTGTTGGTTTGTTTTTATTTTTAATTTACATCCACCCATATAAATGTACTAGGTAAGTCACCGTGTTGTGTTTTTTTTTTTATTTTGGGACAGGGTTTGTAAGAGTACATGTCTTACTCAGTGAATTTTAAGGGGAGTTCTGTTTGAAAATCATTCTTGACACAAGAACAGCATACCACAAGGGGGCATATTATAATCTGAACAAAGGTTATGTGAGGATGGTTAAGATCATCAGTATACTTAGCTAAAACATTTTGATGCATAGTTTGTTGATTAAGAATGTTTTATGGACAGAAAGGGATTAAACACTGATTGGTCAACTATGTGATAAATAAAAGGGTCATCATTTGATCTGAGGTGATTTGAGACCCAAGGTACACTATGCTGTCAAGTTAAAGAACATCATCTTGTTATGTAGTCATACTAAAAGAGCCCCTAGTACATCTAGTACCGTAACAGTTTTCAAGGAAATTTAATCCATAATGATATATTTATATTGTTTTAATATATTTTATATGACAATATTGGGAACAAAGCAATTTCTATACATAATCATTTTAGATCATATTCAACAATGTTTTATCACCACAAATTTTTTTCCCTCGGTACATCTTTGCATAATTAAAATCACATATAGTTTTTCTAATGATTATTAATATTTATATTTGTTTTTTAAATCGTCTGGACTCAAACCATTTTTACCACTCCAATATCATGAATATTGGGACATTGTTTTAAAAAGATGAGTATTTAAATGACAATTTTATGAAGATAAATCAAGAATTATTAATTAATTACAATATAAAACTCTATTCTGTTAACAGGACTCCCTCTGGAGGACATCAAATGTAGAAAACATCCCAGAATTCCCCTGGACCAGTTCTGTACCCCGTGTGGTGTTCCCTTGTGTGTGGAGTGTACCAGATCTGAGGATCACAGCAGACATGACCTTAGAAAGATAAAAAAATTGTTTGACAACATAGAGTGGACAGAAG